ATTAAGGATATTGCTTTTCATTTTCTTGAGCAGCCTAAGTGGGCTCATGATCATGCACGTAGAAGTCTGTGATGCTCTCTGGTGCGAAGTTTCATTACATTAAACGCAATGGATCTGCAATGCCAATCAGACACTTTCAACTTCGCCAATAGTCAGGGACTTCCTGATGCTAAGTTCAATGACAGCATTTTGGGCTACAAGTCTGTCAAGACAACTGTACTGGCTCCAGTAATTAAAATTATAACATGTAAACCTACTTTTATTATTGTTAGTACTCCACACAGAGGAGGAAAGCGGATATGGGCATAAAATGTTAGTTATCTTGGTTATAAACTGAGGGCGACATAGGGCTTTGCAGTGATGATTGTTTTTCTAATGCGGTGATGCAGTGAATAAAATCCAACCTTACAGTGTTGCGGTGGGCGATATTAATGGGTGGGTGATCTGTTTATGTCGTGGAAAAATTGCTGACTCAGAGGTATAAATTTAAAGTATTATGTCAAGTGTACAAGACATGTTCAAATCATGGAGCTAAAAATCTATGGCGCGGTGACAGTGTTTCGGCAACTTTTCTTTCTTTATACTGTGTTTGTTAATTTTTTTGCAGTGTTGCAGTGTTCCAAGCCCCCCAACCCTCCCTTGTCCCAGTCTAAACTGTTTTGTTAAATTAGTTTTGGATCATAAATATCTACACACCTGTTATTCTAGTTGCTTGTGGTGAGATTTCAGCTGTTGCAGGTGCAGCTAAAGCCTCAGTAGTAAGAAACTTTCGGCATCCTTTTGATAAACTTGAGACCTTTGTGTGATGCTAAAGTAGGATATAGAAACAGATGACAGAATTTGATATCACATGTGCAACAAAAGCTTACAATCAAAATTATTCAACTTACAGATATGCTACTTCTTATCCAGGTAAACAGTTTTTGTGACTTGTCTTTGCTCTGACGGCACCATAAGGACACACTGTTGTGTGAGAAACACCTTTGCAATGCCTTAGAACAATAAAGAGAAATTTGTAAGCTATTTACATGTAAATTTACGGTACGTTAAATTTTCATAAGCCTGTATGCTAATTTTTACATCATTCACAATACTTAGTAGCTCAAAAGAGAATGAGCCAAAAATTTGCAAGAAGTTAGATATGGAAGCAAGCTATCTCCTATCTCTCCCCCCGCCCCGGCCCAACACGACCCCCACCCCCATCCCATCTAGGGATATGAAGGATCTCCTTCAAAAGAGTTTTGACAGTAAAAATATAAGAATTGCTCAGATTATCAGTTTTCAAGTTACAAGGGGTCAACAAAAAATAATGGTCCGAAAAATAATAGGTCCTTGCGATCCAGTATCTCCTTCCGATCCAGTATCTCCTTCCATTGCAACCCCACCATCTACTTTCACTGTCATTTCATGTTATGTAATCCTATTTATGCTCCAGCCTAAAAAGCTTGTCAATAATTTTCTTGCCAGCAGCTCTTTCTTTTCAAGAAAACTTGGAAATGAAAACCGAAAAAGAACATTAAAAAATCCGAAACCAGTTAATATTCGTCCTCCTTGAACTTCCTTTTCAGCTGATGCAACAGCTTTATTCTGAAGCATGTAAGCTTAATTTGCAAAATGTCACTGAACTAGCAAAATTAACTGATTTCTTACCGTTTTTCTTGTGAGAATATTTATCGTACTAATGCTTCTGAAAGGGCATCCCATGATCCGTATCATCGTAGTGTACTCGTGTATCTACACGACAAGGAAAAACGTGCAGCTTGACGATATAAACTGAT